GGGACCTTACTGACGACCGGTTCATGCAGTTACAAGCGACCTTCAAAGGGCGTACATTAGGCCAGGACAAAGGAGGCACGCGCAAGCGAGACTGCCCCGGGGCCGGATTGCTGTTGCCTGGAGGTCACGATGAGGACACATGCACATACGCGCCTGAGCAAGCCCACGCACGGCCACTCCTGGAGAGCCAATAGGGAGCAATGACTACTGGCCCTTCCATAGCGAGGCTGCGAGCAGAACGCCATTATGTTGCTGGAGACGCTGCCGACGACCCGAGATTCTGCTGCTAGTGACAAGACATGCTGTTGGCCGAGACGAACTACCGATGACAGAATACAACGCTGATGTACAAGCAGAACTAGTAACAGTAAAGTACTATCTGTTATCCTGTTCTGCCTTCTCTTCCTAACACGTAACTGGGGGACATAACCGGTGTCGACACAGGAACACACTCGGTTATAACACACTTAACGTGTAGCACTTCTAGATATGAAACATCCGAATCGGCAGTACATAACACTTCTGTGGGATTTGTCCTCCTGCCTTTAAAATACACTATGTTTTTCTGAATTTTCATCAACATTCCGCTGCTGGCGTTTGCATTCTATACTTAACTTTTTACAAAGCGTGCGCAAATATTAGCGTTGATGAGAAGGGAGACTAGAATGAACGTTTCGGGTACAATGCATGACCTAACTCAGGAACTTTGACGAGGGAAATCAATACAATAATCTCCAAAGGCCGATTCGTCGGGTATTTTGTTCATTCATCTAGCCTCTTCAAGAAAATGCCCTTATTCATGCAGAATATTCTTCTAAGTAATTTTATCAGGCAAAGCCTATAATTTTGGTCAAAAGTCGAAGTAACTGTATGGTCGAACAATATTCGATGCTGCTGTTTCTCCTGGGCGTATTTCTTACATCAACGTTTTGCTTTTCACTTTCGAAGGTGATTAATTTGATCACAACTGATGTTACTAAACCTTTCCTAATATGCAACAAGTCTGATTGTAATTGTAAATCTCATGTCAACAGAAACAGGTAATTTTCTTCTGGAAGTCTTCTTGTGCTACAAAATGCCCAGGCGCTGCTTTCGCTATAATAGCCTATTGATTATATGCGCAAGAGTGCACGCATACAAAAGGAGAACATGGAATACATCCAGATTTGTCACGCTATTAATTATCCAACAAAGAAACAATCAAGGCGCCAAAATTTCCGTATGCTGATAAGTCTTCGTTGACGACAAACGTTTCATTAAATATTACCTTAGTTAAGATGGAAAGCCTACCTCTTGGAAACACCTCTCTGTGAGGATAATGTCAAGAGGCAGACAAAAGCGATCAAATATTCCGAAAGAGACAGATTTCTTGCGCCAATGAAACATTGAACCCAGTTTTTTTTTACATAAGCACACCCAGTTTTCATGAGTTCACTTTTCAATCGTCGGCTTAAGTAACAAACTATTTGCTGTCAAAAGCTCACCGCCGGAGAAGAACTTTACTGGAATCAAGTGAGCTTGGGTGTTATCGGTTAAGTAAGTCGACCAAGTAGGCAACTGAGTTTGTACTTTTGGAGTTTTTTCCAAATTGAAATGGCTTGTTCTCGTAGAGTAAGCAGCCGTGTAGATCAGAGAACTTTTAGCACATTCTTCTTCGAAATGTACCTACAAAATTAGGCCTCAAGGCAAAACTTTGTCTCCAGTTACTACATTCGCTGAAATTCTTTTCATATTGATTGAAGGTTCAACATGCATATGCAAGAACACCAACTGGCTACGATTATCCATGCAATATTTGATATTGATTCACACGGGAATGCGTATTCCATCTGGTAAACAGACTAATTAATTTACATAACGCGCGTTTTCCATTGGCTTCCGATGCTTGCGCAAATAATCAGTCCTTTTACACATTCCTCCCTAACTTACGCCTGTAACGACTAACATATTAGGACGCTCCTAGCATACTGCCTTCAAGGTTATTAGTGTTGTTGTTATTATTGCTGCACTGTAAGTGCGCTGTGCGTAAATTGGGGTCGCACAGGCTCATAGCTTGGCATTATGGGGATGCGTTAAGTCCCTGCGAAAGCCTCATTACTACTACGCACCTACGTGTCTGCCTTCCCGCTGCGTGGATCACTGCATCTAATAA